AATTAACCACTTCATGAATTGACTTCTTGAAATGACCATTTTATTTTTTAATTATAAATTTGTTTTTAACTATTTACCCTTAACAATAGGCAAAGTTCGTTTTCAAGTATAAAGTGAATTCTATTTCGTCGCTTCATTCTCGATATAATATTTGACCAAGTAGTTTCCTTAACTTACTAGGCAACACCGTACGGTTTTTAGAGAAAAAAAAATGTTTTGACGTTGACACTCCCTACCAGGCATCAACCGCCATTTTCAATCCTCATTCCTTTTTCGTGTGTGGCAACAAACAAGCATACCTCCACAGCTCCGTTAAAATGTCAAAGCGAACAAACTTAGAAAAAATCGAATATTATAAAAGTAGACTGAAATACTTGGAAAATACAGATGCAAAACGTCGTCCACGTTATAGGATCATAATATCATCGGACGAGTCGGACATTGATCAAGGTAACATATTTTTCTTACGCTCATAAATAATGAAAATAAAAAATGAAAATATTCATTTTTATCATATAGCACTACTTGCTGCTTCCGCAATTATAATAAATGTTCGCTTTCATATATCGCAAATGTGAATCTAACCTACATTTAATAAAACATCGGGTTAACTGCGAGTTATGCCCCATAACCAAATCGAACATGGGTGGATGAAAATCCGAACAGATATATTGATATGTGCATTTAACATGATATATAGTAAAACTGCCATGGAGTTAACCGCGAGTTAAACACGATAATGAAATCGACTGAGAGTTGATTTTGATTTGAACAGTATTAATATCTACGTGCTAATAAGTAACGTATATTATTTAAATTAAACTACGTCGGGGTCAACTGCGAGTTAACCACTACAATGAAATCGACTGCGAGTCGATTTTAATTTGAACAATGTTAGTTCTTACATGCTAATAAACAAATATTTTTTTTAAATAAAATGAAATCGATTGCGAGTCGATTTTAATTTGAACAACATCACTTCCTGCGTGGTTATAAGTATAGAATTTTTTAAATAAAATTACGTCGGGGTTAAGTGCAAGTTGACCACGATAACGAAATCGACTGCGAGTCGATTTTAATTCAAATAGTATTAGTATTTACGTGCTAATTAGTAAAGTATATTTTTTAAATAAAATTACGTCGGGGTTAATTGCGTGTTAGCCACGATAATGAAATCAACTGCAAGTCGATTTTAATTTGAACAATATTAGTACGTACGCGCTAATAAGTAAAGTTAATTTTACATAAATGTACGTCGGGGTTAACCGTGAGTTAACCGCGATAATGAAGTCGACTACGAGCCGATTTTAATAACTATATTATTCTAAGAAAAGTATATTTAAAATAAAATTAAGTTGGGGTTAACCATAAGTTAACTGCGATAAGAAATTAACTGCGAGGTATTTCAATTTAAATCCCACATGCGTGCAATTAATAAGTGTTAACGAAACACGCCTTAGTTAAAACAATTACCTATCTAATACAATTCTAAAGAAGATCGTTAATGGTTTTAGGCGACAGCCACCTGCAAAACGAATATGCAGCTTCGCCAGCAATACCATTATGTAAACAGGTGCCAACACCAGTCTGTAATAACCCGGCAATAGTTTATCGCCAGACGACAATAGAAAAAAATGCATATCACAATTAAAAACTTAATTGACTTGGGAGCAATGACAAAGTGCTGTCCTTGAAAACATCAATACATTTCTAGTACTTTTTTAGCCCCAAAACGCAACGGTAGTCGTTTCATATTGAACATATTGTTCTTTAACAAATTTGTAGCAAAAACTCATTTTAAAATGGAGGACTATCAAATTGCCTCAAAATTGATACCTCGCGAGTAGCACAGGAGGCCAACGGAAGGCTGTTGAGAAGAAGAAGCACCATATCAATTATTAAGAATTGCAGTATTCTTATATTATATTAGTATAATCTGATTGTGTTATACTGTTGCGAGTACGCTACGGCGATCAGTTACATAAATCGCAAGGGAGGGATCTAATACCCACCTTAAAGATTTAAGTAAACCAATTTGGCAATGGTGCGAAAACCGGAAAATAATTTTGTATGCATATGTGCATATTATGTAAATACAAAAGATAATCGCGCCGATATAGAATCTAGGGAGACTAATCCCGACACCGAGCGGGAGTTGTCCTCTCGCGCTTTCCAGATCATTGTCAGACGTTTCGGACAACCCGAGATTGATCTTTTTGCATCCCGCACCAATGCCAAATCCGCTATTTTAGTCTCTCGGTTTCAGGAACTAGATGCATTTGCCATTGATGCCTTTACACTTAATCGGAATTATAATATTTTTTGCTACGCATTTTCTTTTTGTTATTGAAATGCTTACGCAAAATTATTCATGACGAAGAAAATGGTACTCTTGGTTTTCCATATTGGCCTTCCCAGCCATGGTTCCTCCTGCCGCAAAGGCTGTCGGTTTCCGACGTGATATATATTAACTCAAGCGAATCATTATTAAATCTTATTGCAGGCGGTCTCATTGACTGCACACCAGCCTTACCCTTTCTGCCCTTATCAGCGCCCCCTTCGCCTCCCGCGGAGTCCCACAAGAGGCGATGACTTTAACATTAGCTTCTCTTTCTTAAAATACAATTAGACAATATAATGTGTCCTTAAAGCTCTGGTGGCAATTTTGCAATAATAACAGTCTGCTTTATCTCTTTGTAATCTGAAACAGGCTTAGACCGCCCGCATTAAAAAGATTACTAAAGGGTGCGCCCTTTAGATTGAAACTGAGTGCACCAAAGTATACCAATACTTGGAATCCCCAAGTCGTTCTCGAATTAGTTTCAACGTGGTTTTCCAACACAGAACTTCCTCATGAAAAACTTTCGAAAAAATGTGTTTTTTACTTGCACTTTGTAATGCACACCGCGTACAAACTGGCATTGATTAAAATAAAAAACACAAATATCAGATATTCCGATTAAAATTGTAATACCTAATTTAATCAAAACGTCTGCGCATTGAATTTTCCATATTTTAGAGAGGATATAAGTATTTGCCTTGTCGCAGTTTTCAAACATTATATTTTGGTATCACAAAATAAGACAACTGGACGTCAGGGAACGCTCTTGCTGACACACAGAGCTCCCCACAGAGTATCCACGAGTCAGACCGTGAGCCGATGTGTACGGCAGGTGTTGGATGCGGCGCGGCGGGTGTGGACACAGCAGTTTTCGGCGCGCATAGCACGCGGTACGCCTCCACGCCGGCCGCGCGCGCGGCTGAGATGCGATGGAGCTGTAAGGCTGCGAGTTGGACTCTGACATCTCACATCCTTTACTAGATTTTATAATAGACTAATACTTACTGAAGACGAACACACGCGCGCAAGAACCATTTGCTTACAACATCATAAAACGGCAAATTATACTATTCTAAATTAATAATAATAATAATATTTATTTATAAAATTATTATATGATTGTATGATTTAAAAATTGTTATGATTGTGATCTCAGGAGAAAAACCATTATATGTATCATATCTATATATATTTTTAATAAAAATATTATATAGTTATCGATTAAACCTCTGGTTTTTAATTTTCATAAAATCAACTAAAAGCAAAACTAAATACTCTAAAACTCTACCTGGTTAAATATTATATCGAGAAAGAAGCGACGAAATATAATAGATGATCAAACGAACTTCTTGAAGTGAAGTTCGATCACTTTTATGTGAGTCGCTTCATTCAAAGATATAATCAACCCCCTCCCTCCCTTGACTTTTGCTTCCCACTCTAAAAGGAATGAGGATAGGAAATGGCGGTTGATGCCTGGTAGGGAGTGTCAACGTCAAAAAAAATTTTTTTTTTTAAACAAGTTAAGGAAAGTACCTGGTTAAATATTATATCATCGAATGAAGCGACTCACGTAATAGTGATCGAACTTCACTTCAAGAAGTTCGTTTGATCGTCTATTACTTTTTATTTGGCACTGATTATAATGAAATTCATTTAACATTCTTTTTAGCTTGTTGTTTTGAAATAAAATTAGCTATTATTAATATTTTAAATAAAAATAATATATTTATAACAGAATTCAAATTTACATATCCGAAATAGATTTTTAATATCCTACAAGTGCAATTGTTTAGCGGTTTTTAGATCGACAGACACGTCATATTCTTTGAGTTTATTATTCGCAATTTAAACAAAATTAAACGATAAAAATAAAAATATTATGACAAGAATTTAGCCTTAGCATATAGATATGTGTCGAGAATCCAGCATCAACGTCACCAGGCCACGGAAGGGTGAGGTATTGCCGCCGCGGAGGACAGGCGTCCAATGAGCGCCCAACCACAGTTTTTATTCAAAATTAAATTCACTTCAAAAGAGTTTGTAATATGTTAAATTATTAAATCTTAGTCTAATATCGTATTACGTTCTTCATTTTCATCCATCATCCAAGTTCATAACGCCATAGTATTCATGACCCTTCGAGTCAAATATACAAGGAAACTAGCCTTTAACGGGAATACAGATCGCGATCGCCTATGAGGAAAGAACCGAAGAAGTGAAGAATCAGCCTTATTATACCAAGAATTGCACAAGAATTATTATACAAGAAATATATACAAGAATTATACAAGAATTATTATACAAGACATGTATACATGAATTATATATATATATACAATAATTATCTACAAGAATTTATGTACATGGATTATACATAAGGAATTATACGAGACGATTTATACCAGAACCTAAGACAGGAATTAATTATATGCGAATTCATTTATCTATGAATGGGGTGACGTGCAATAATATTATTTAGAAGAAGCCCGTAATCGGATTGCATTGTAACATAAAACTAGATCGAGCAATTAAAAGTGAGTCCATTCCAATATTTCACGTTTAGAAGCACCTCTCGTAAATTTTAAATACATAGGATAAAATTACATTTTTAACCTTTTACATCCAACTAGTCAATTAATTCATTTAGAAAGTTATCAGTGTAAATTATTCATATAAATAATTTCAAATCATTCATTATTGGTATTCAACTTAATTTGCAATTAATTAGTACAAAGTAATAAAGTAACGTAAAAACATAATTCGCATTGATAGTTTCATGTTTAGTTCCAGTGTCTTGTTCTTCGCGGCCCGGTAGCAATGCAACGGTTGTTAACCGAGTTTTATCTACTTACTCATTCTTGATTTTTTAAATATTTTCCGTTTATGATTTGAAAATTTGTGATTTAGTTTATTTATTATTGACAACTTATACAAGCTTGGGATTTGTGTATTTATTATTGTTTGGCTGTACAAAGCAATCAATTCAATTTACATATTTACAAATTTACAGCGATAATTTTAACACGAATTTTAACCGACTTCAAAAAAAGAAGGAGGTTCTTTATTTTCGATTCAGTCATTATGTCATCAGTGGAAATAAAATATCTTGTTAAGAAACGCGGCGTAATCAAGGACCGTTTAACGACATTCGTCAATTATGTAGACAAATTAGACTCGTTAACGTCAGTGCAAGCGACTGAGCTTCAAATTCGCCTCAACAAAACTATTACACTTTTAGCTCAATTTGATGATATTCAACCCAACATTGAATGTAGTATAGTAGATGAAAAAGACTTAGTCGTTCACTCAACTGAGCGAACCGATTTCGAGTACTTGTATTACGCGACTGTCGCGTCCGCACAAGAAATATTAAACGTAAATAAACCTGCCAATAATTCAGATAACGACTCATGCAGTGGTTCGTACGTTTCAGGCGAGTAGCATACACGAGGAAAGGCCAACCGCACGAGCACTACAGGCGTCAAGTTGCCCACCATCCAAATCCCTGAATTCAGCGGTCTGTATGAGAACTGGTTGGAGTTTCATGACACTTTCATTTCGTTAATACATAAAAACAGCTCTATCTCGAATGTACAGAAGTTTCATTATTAGAGGGCTTCCCTGGAAGGAGGCGCTGCTCAGGTAATTCGATCTTTGGAATTTTCGGCACGTAACTATACCATCGCCTGGGATTTGTTGTGCGACCGATATGACAATACGCGACCGCTTGTTCAGAATCATATTCAAGCATTGTTTTCTTTGGAGCCACGTAAAAGGGAATCTTGCCAATCTATACGTCGAATTGTAGATACATTTACTAAAAACTTAAGAGCATTAGGCACATTAGGGGAACCGACCAATTCGTGTGACACCCTCGTTATTTACATTATGTGTACAAAGTTAGACGCTAGAACATTACGAGAATGGGAGAAGTGTAAATGCAGTTTAAAATTTATTGAATTATCCGATTATACACATGAGTAATAATAATAGTAACATTAGCGCCAGAGCTGATAAAAACAAACCTGCCGAGCACTAAGAAGGTCTCGCAGCAATTACAAACAAACGACATAACAACATACGAACACAATTGCCCCTTGTGCAAGCGAAACCATCGCATATATAAGTGTACCCAGATTCTAGGTCAATCTATCAACGAGAGAGCACAGTCGGTGAGGAGGCTCAAGTTATGAAAAACTTACTCCGCCCCAGTCATCAGCCTCGCGTTTGTTGATTGGGCCCATGCATGAAATGTAATCAAAAACACAAGACGGTGATACATCCAGATTCAGAGCCGCGTACAACCGACCCGCCAGTTGTAGGCGCGACGTCGTTCTCAGTCGAACCAACAGGGCGCGTCTTGCTCTCAACTGCATTAATATACATATACGACAAGGACAACCACCGCAATGAAGTCCAAAGCTCTTCACGATTCAGGAAGCCAGGCTTCCTTTATAACGGATTCCTTGTTTCGTAAATTACGTTTAAAATATACACAGACATAGTCATCCGTAGTTGGTATTAACAATACAGTATCACAAATAACGAAGCGCTGCAGTGCATTCATTAAGGCAGGAGCGACACCATACAATACAAATCTTCTTCTTGGTTCTTGGTCTTGCCGAACACTGCAACTCTTTTGTCAAACACACTCAGTATACCTAAACTGAACATATCAACACACATCACACTGGCCGACCCTGAATATTTTTATCCGTTGAGCATAGACATTCTACTTGGCGTAGACATTTTCTGGGACTTGTTTGAGCAAGGTCAAATACGTTTAGGTAATAACTGTCCAATCCTACAAGCAAACAAAACTCGGGTACGTAGTTTCAGGGCCTATCAGTGGACTAAACCATACAAATTCAAATTCATTGAATACAATTACGTGTACATTAACAACAAACAATTCAACACAGGAACAGTTAGCTAAATTCTGGTCTCTTGAGGAGGAACCGTACAATTCTAAGCTGGTGCATTCTGTAGAAGAGCGTCTATGTGAGGAAAACTTTAAACAAAATTATACGCGTTCACCAGATGGTCGATTTTCTATCGCGATCCCTCTCAGGAAGCCTGAGTCTTGTTTATGTGACTCATACCGCAACATGCAACGTATATGCAACATACATGCAACACAATGTTTTCTTTCACTAGAACGTAGATTACAAAACCTACCAAAATTAAAACAAATGTACACAGACTTTATGGATGAATACATAAAATTAGGTCATGTGACAGAGACAAGACAACACAAATAAAAAAAATAAATTAAAAGCGGCTCCCTTCTAGCCGCGCGCCTAACTGAATATGTGTGAATAGGTACTAAAGTCGTTTTCTTCTCACAAACTTTGAACGAATTAAAAAACAACACTAAAATTAAAAGAACTGTAGTTAGAACTAAGAACTCGATAGAACTGTACTTTTTATACTAAGGTTTATTTATGAAACAATTAAATTTTATCTTCTTTACAATAAAGTGTTAGGCTTATCGCCGTTCATCAATGAGTCATCATTGATACGCGTCGGCGGGCAATTAGTATATTCTCAATTCACATTTGAAAATAAATATCCATTACTTTCAAGTAAACGCACACCAACAAACCTTATATTTACAGACGAACACATACGAATTATATATACCTGTCGGGTCGCAATTATTACTAGCATTGATACGAAACCAATTTTGGCCTATTGGTAGTTGCATTTCAACAAAATCGGTCGCACACTAATGTCAGAGATGTTTGAGAATGAGAGCTAAAATAGCCAACCCAATAATGGCTCGACTTCCTGAAGAGCGCCTCGATCCAGGTTATATCCATTTCGAACCACAGGTGCGGACTAGACGGGGCCACTGACCACTGCTGAATGTAAGGGACGCGGATGTAAGTCAATCAAAATCTATGTAGTAGTGTTCGTGTGCTTCGCCACTAAGTGTCTGCACCTCGATTTAGTTACAAGTTTGACGGAATGTATGCCTCCATTGCCGCTTTACGCAGATTCATTGCGAGACTTGGAAATCCACAAACAATATTTTCCGACAGCGGTACGCAGTTTGTTGGTGCTAAAAATAAAATAAAAACATTGTCTAAATTAAATTCATATCATATTTCGGAATCCATGGCAAATGAAAACGTAAATTTTAAATTCATTCCAGCCTATGCGCCTCATTTTGGCGGGCTGTGGGAAGCCGGAGTTAAGTCATTTAAATATCATTTAGTAAGAGTTTAGGCGAGTCCCATCTTACATTTGAGGAGCTGTATCCGACTTTAGTTCAAAAAGAAGTCATACTTAACTCGCAACTCTTATTCCCATTAACTTCTGATCCACGTAATCTCACATCATTGACGTCAGGTCATTTCTTGATCGAAGGACCTTTCACCGCTCTACCAGTGCCAAAACCAGATGACATCAATCCGACTAGACTACAGAGATGGGATCGAGTGGAGAGACTTCGCCAGCGCTTCTGGATAAGGTGGCAAAAGGAGTATGTCTCAGAACTGCAGTAGAAAACAAAGTGGAGACAATGTACGGGCTGCCTAGACAAAGTAACAATGGTTATCATTAAAAAAGATGCACTCCCTCCAGGAGCTGAGCAGAGTCGCAGACATATGTACTTACAAAGGCAATATCAGAAGAGCCTTTAACCGAATCTGTGCTCTTCCTATGTACAATGATCCTGTTGAAAGCCAGGACTTTCAACGCCGGGGGACATGTCGAGAATCAGCATCAACGTCACCAGGCCACTGAAGGGTGAGACATCGCCGCCGCGGGGAACGGGCGTCCAATGAGCGCTCCACCACAGTTTTTATTCAAAATTAAATTCACTTCAACGGTCGCCGATAGTGCGCACACGCATTGCTTTGTAATATGTTAAGTAAATAAATCTTAGTCAAATATCGTATTACGTTCTTCATTTTCATCCATCATCCAACTTCATAACGCCATAGTCTTCAATATGTATTTTTTATTACGTTTAGACACATAAAAAAATGTTACATAAAATATCATACCTACTACAAGCAGCGTTTTGAATATAATTTGGGCTTACCACTAACTTTCTAACGCAATTAATCAGATAATTTGGAATCATTGGTCACCTGAACTTCTAATCCTGTCTGTTCAAAAGGTACAACATATTGAAAAATATGCCACAATACCACTCTACAGTTTTAGGAGGCTCATGTCAGGAATAAAATTTAAATATTGTAGATTGTTGTGAGATTGTTGATTTTAAATCGCACGTTGAAAACACTACTGTGCCTAAATAAAACTATAGCTTTTGCAAATTTAAACTTAATTTTAGAAACCATAAGGCCCATTTCCCAAAAATTGGCTGTTTCGTTTATAATATCTACACTTCTAATATTTTATTTCCCCGTTTGACTATTGATTGATTTGTGCTGCACTGAAATTGATATTTGTGTACCCATTTGCCATTAGTTTGATAGGTAGTTTACTTCTCCATTTGCTGTCAGATTACAAGTGACCTATGAAAATATATTTACACATTTTTATTGCAAAAACAGATTAAAACAATAATAATATTCTGTGATATTCAAGATGATGATTTGGCACTGCAGTACTGATTACAGTAGCAGTGTCTGTCTATTAGGACAGGCGTGTCGCTTTCCACCAGGCGCACGACTCGTTCGTCCAGTCACTTGGTATCATAAAGAAAACAATATGTATATGTAATTAGTAATGTGTCATATGGGATGTAAGGGGGCACACACCATCACAGCTCTTATTGTCAACCTCACCTGCACGCGGTACATCCTGCAGTAACCGACGAGGCTCTGGCGACCGGTAGTAGGCGGTATAGCCCTTCCCCACATTGGCGCTGTCAAATCTGCTGGCTACCGACGGGCAGCAGCGTCGGTAGTACAAAGGCAGCGCCCTGCGATCTCCAACCCGCATGCCCAGCGTGGAGATTATGGGCAATAACCCCCTTCATGCACGGCACAACCAATCGAAGGCCCCCAGTTCCCGGTCGCCCCGCTATTCCTGGTCACGGTAGCGGCCATGGTACCGGCGGGGTAGGGGGTACTAAGAATCCCCGGGCTACCGCAGGCTACCAAAAACAACTGACTGCGTTTAACGGACGAACTCTTAGGCTTGACGAACACCTTGCACAGTTGGAAGTGGAACTGGAGAACATTAGATGGCATGTTCTGGGGCTGTGTGAAGTCCGAAGAGAGGGAGAGGACACCATAACCCTAGACTCGGGCCATCTACTGTACTTCCGCGAGGGTGATCAAACATCCCAAGGTGGTATAGGATTCCTCGTCAACAGAGTCCTCTCTAACAACGTTGAAGAGATCTCCAGTGTGTCGAACAGGGTAGCGTACATGATCCTTCGGCTATCAAAAAGGTATAGCCTGAAGATCATTCAGGCCTACGCACCGACCTCGACACATTCGGATGACGATGTAGAAGATATGTACGAGGACATATCGAAAGCCTTACACAACACCACCAAGGCTCACTTCAACGTTGTTATGGGGGACTTTAACGCTAAAGTGGGATTCCCAAATCTTGACGAGTCTCGAGTCGGCCCGCATGGTTATGGAGTAAGGAATCACAGGGGGCAAACGCTAGTCAACTTCCTCGAGCACGAGGGGCTCTTCTTGATGAATTCGTTCTTCAAGAAGAAGCCTCAAAGGAAGTGGACTTGGCGAAGCCCCGACGCTGTGACTAAAAATGAGATCGATTTCATCCTGACGGACAAGAGACACATATTCAGAGATGTCTCAGTGATCAACAGGTTTAGCACCGGATCTGATCACCGACTTGTACGAGGCTCTCTGAATATCGATGTCAAACTTGAAAGAAGCCGCTTGATGAAGTCCACGCTCCGTCCTAATCCACTCCAGATCATGGCGGGCTCCGAGAAGTTCCATGAACTTCTCGAAGCGTGATTCGTCGAGCTGGTACCCACCGAGGACGTTGACGAGGCCCTACAAAGCGTGGTTGGGACGCTGAGAAGCGAGGGCATCAAATTCTGTCAATTGCAGTGTACGGGAAAGAAGTCTAAACTCTCGGATGGGACTCTGCGACATATGACGAAAAGACGCGATGACATCCAGGCCACTTCGTCAGAGAGGTCATACCTAAACAAGCAGATTGCAAAGATGGTACCTTACCTTACCTACCTTCGGAGCTCCAATACACGCCTCATTGAGGAGGCGATAGAGCGAAACCGAGGGTCCAAAGTATTCACTCAGCAGCTTGGAAGGAGCCACCTGACGAAGCTTACAACGCACGATGGCCTAACCGTTACGTCAAAGCCGCAGATACTCGCCGAGATAGAGGACTTCTATGGCCGTTTGTACGCTGTAAATGCTCCTCGGGTCCAGCGTGACAATCACGATTTGAGAGCCACCTTGACGCGCCACTATACCGACGACCTGCCAGAAATCAGTCAAGACGAGATCGTGTTGGCTCTAAAACAGCTTAAAAATGGAAAAGCCCCCGGTGAAGACGGAGTTACTTCGGAGCTTTTGAAGTCTGGAGGAGTTCCTATTATCCAGGACCTTCAGAAGCTCTTTAACTTGGTCATTCACTGCGGGAGAACTCCACGGGCGTGGAACAGGAGTATTGTAGTTCTCTTCTTTAAAAAGGGAGATAAAACTCTACTGAAAAACTACCGACCCATCTCACTCCTGAGTCACGTCTACAAGCTGTTTTCTAGAGTCATCACGAATCGCCTCGCAAGAAGACTCAACGAGTTTCAGCCACCGGAACAGGCCGGGTTTCGGGGAGGATATGGCACCATAGACCACATACACACAGTGAGGCAGATTATACAGAAGTCCGAAGAGTATAATCGGCCCCTGTGTTTAGCTTTCGTGGACTATGAGAAGGCCTTTGACTCTGTCGAAACCTGGGCTGTCCTGGAATCCTTACAGCGGTGTCAAGTGGACTATCGTTATATACAAGTGTTGAGATGTCTTTACGATGTTGCTACCATGAGTGTCCAAGTACAGGACCAGCAGTCTGAACCTATCCAATTACGCAGAGGGGTGAGACAGGGGGATGTCATATCCCCGAAACTGTTCACCGCTGCATTGGAGGATATGTTTAAGACGCTGGACTGGAAAAGGATGGGCATTAACATAAACGGCGAGTACATCTCACACTTGCGATTTGCAGATGACATAGTCCTAATGGCAGAATCGCTGGAGGAACTGGATCAGATGCTGAACAGCCTAGCATCCGCCTCGCGGCGGATTGGTCTCGGCATGAACTTTGATAAAACCAAAGTCATGATCAATGACCACATTGATCCGAGACCCATCTGCGTCAATGGCCACCTTCTTGAAGTTGTTTCCGAATACACTTACCTCGGGCAGATTCTGCAGTTAGGTAGAAATAACTTCGAGAAGGAGGCCAGGAGGAGGATTCAGCTTGGCTGGGCAGCGTTTGGTTAGCTACGTCGAGTCTTTTCGTCACCCATCCCGCAGAGCTTGAAAACAAAGGTTTTCAACCAGTGCGTCCTACCAGTTCTAACGTACGGAGCTGAGTCGTGGACACTCACGATACGGATAGTCCACCAGTTTAAAGTCGCTCAGCGAGCTATGGAACGAGCTATGCTCGGAGTTTCTCTGAAAGATAAACTCCGTAATGAGGTTATCAGACAGAGAACCAAAGTGATCGACATAGCTCTTCGGATAAGCAAGCTGAAGTGGCAGTGGGCTGGACATATCTGCCGAAGAACCGACAACCGCTGGGGTAAACGAGTTCTTGAGTGGAGACCACGACTTGGCAAACGTAGTGTGGGACGCCCTCCAGCCAGATGGAGTGACGATCTGCGGAAGATTGCTGGCAGGAAATGGATGCGTCAAGCCGAGAACAGGGCGAAATGGCGTGCATTAGGGGAGGCCTATGTCCAGCAGTGGACTGCAATAGGCTGATGATGATGATGATGAATATGTCATATTATTTTTCTTGCATGTATTAAGGGTTGGTATGACAGGGTAAACTGAAAGTCTTATTGAGACTCTCCAAATGACGCAAATACAATAACAACATGATACACAGGCAGCAAAATATATTTATTATATTATTTTTGATCATTTTCCTTTCATAATAATTTAATATGAAAAATTGGTTTGGTAAAATAAAAATAAATAGATAATAATTATGTATTAAAAACATGTAGAACTTTCGATCAGGAAGATACTCGTATGTGTAAAATTGTCTATAATTATGTGTGACAATGACGTGTGAAATGCGTCATTGTTTTGATGTATTTTAATGTGAAACGTCAAAAACAAAAGTTAAACTCTTTGGCGTGGTTTACAAATACCGTGTTTCTCAAAAACGTGCAAGATAAAAAAACAGAGCCCCATAAGATTCCTGTCGTTTAAAAATGAGTTATTTTTTACTTTGAGGACGAACATTATAAATAAATTTCACTTGCAAGATTTTAAGTATTTGTGGTATGTATATTGTGTACAATTTTGTCATTTAACGTACAGCAAAAGTTTGCCAAAATGATGTTATCTTTTAAAATGATGTCTCTTTCTTGAGAAGAGTTTCTTTTCGTAAAACCTCGTTTGAATTAGATAATTTTTTTTAACACACTCATAGCCCCGCACTGGGGTAAACGCGGGAGAAATTTGTTTAGGCCATACACATACATATTTCTCCCGGCCTAGGAATCGAACCCAGGACATCTGCGTGGCAGTGCAGCATGGTAACCGTTCGGCCACGAAGGCAGTTATAAATTATAATGTATGTGTGTATAAATTATAATATATGTGTGTATTGTTTAATTTCAACATAAAGGAGAAAGCAACACGTCGATTACAATAGAG